CCAGCCCATCGACCATTTTGTTTACATGCATCTCCTTTTAATCTTTCTAGCTACTCTATCAATCTCTGCTGCACCATACAGAGGACATCCTGGGCTTTCCAGTGAGATGCCATTATGTTACAATTTCATGCTGGGAAGTTCTCATTCATAACACTCCGTTCGATCTCCCACTATGGGATGTGCCTCAACGCGTATGCAAACAGAAGCATCAATCTCATTACGCCAATCCTGATTGGCTGGTGATCTTGACGTCTACGTCAGGGAATCCACCCACCCTTTAAGTAGCTTGCGCTACGTCGCAGCGTCATTCAAACACATCTTCTCCTTCGGAGCACATCTCAAAATATCAGTAGCCGGGCTAGCTTAACTGTCCACAGACTGAACCACAAGCTAACTTTCGGTCGACGGGCGCTTGCCGGCTACTCTTGCTTTGCAAGAAGATTTAATTGAATATTAACACACCAGTTAATATTGAAATCTGCCACGCCGTTTTTTTCTTTCGGAATAACGGTAAGGTTTTGATTTTTCTTCTAACGGTAACGTACCTGTTACTAGTTTATCCCTCCACGCCGACACCCCGGCGAGCAAGGACGGATTCTTCTCTCCCTCACACCAGAGGAGACGGAGATAAAAGATATTAACACACCAGTTAATATTAAAAAATCTGCCCGCCGTTTTTCCTTTCGGAATAACGATAAGTTTTTTGTTTTTTTCTTTCAAATGGTAACATACCTGTTACTAGTTTCTCCCTCCACGCCGAAACCCCGGCTAACGAGGATGGACCCTTCTCTCCCTCACACCGAAGGAGACGGAGGCTCGGAGACTCTACTCTACGGATCCGACTAAGATGAGCACGAAGATAACATCTTCGTTTCATCTGCCCAGGCTGCCAAGCCGGAGGCGATGTCCGCTCCCCCGGGCGAAAGCACACCAGCTTCGCCCTGCCTCAGTATGGACTTGCAGGCCTTGGCTTAACCTGACGAACCTTCCAGACCGGGAAAAAGCGGACGTCTTGGACATGCCTATTGTTCCCGAGGGCATATTTGGCTCCGCTCTAGCTTCGATGCAGCAGCGGTGTGAATCCAAAAAGAAGGAGGATGAGGCTCTCCAGCTTTGTCTTCCCCGAAGGGTCCACCGCCGCCTTCAACGGCCCTGCGGCAGTCCTTCGCTCAGGCTGCCTCACGTCCTGCCCGTTTCAAGGTCCCGAAACAGCAGAGGTCACAGCCCGCCCCGGGTCTCCAGCCCAGACACGAGGCGAGGACGAGCTGGCCAAGAAAGTCTCCGGTTCCGGCAGCAGCCACTCAGGCACAGCCGGTCCAGACTTTCAGCCACCAGGCGAGGAAGAAGAAAAGGGCGGCCTGACAGCCTCCTGTCCTCTCCTCGATAAAGGAGCTGGGAGTTCCCTGTTCTCCAGCTCCAGGACACATTCCAGTGTTGGATGCTCATGTGTTTCCGGGGTGCAACCATGTCCCCATCTTCCCGCCGCCTCGAGTGATGTCAGAACGTCATCCTCAAGTTCGCGCCATGAGGGAAATGGACTTAACATCAAAGACAGCAAGTTCCGCTGCCTGTTTAAGTCCCACAAACACATGTCATCACTATTGTTGTTTAATAAATAATTGTCCACTGTCGTTTCCAGGCTTAAAGCCAAGGGCGCAGTCAATAAAAATGAAAAGAAAAACAATAAAAACAATAAACAGTCTGAAGTCTACCCCCCTTCTAAGAGTGGCTGCTGCCTCTCTCAGAAGGCGGACGATGGACGGGACTGTGAAGGCATCACCGCCACGCGCATGCGCAGTGTCGACCGGGGTTGTCAACCTGGGGTACCACCGTGTTCAGACACTAGAGGGCCCCCTAACACAACAAATAAAGACACAGAGGGCAGACGACAGGGATGTGACATCTCCACTTGCTTTGAGAAGCGAAAAGCGGAGGATGCTCACAGATTCTGCTTGGGTTTTCAAGACAATAGCACAGGGTTACAGACTCCAATTCGCTGTCACCCCCCCTCACTTTTCGGGCATTCTGCATTCGCAAGCCCGGGGAGAATCACATAAATTATCTGGAGCTTTTAGCGGTATTCCTCACCCTGAAATGCTTTCTGCCTTTTCTCAGAGGACATCATGTCCTCGTGAGGACAGACAACACGACCACAATATCGTATATAAACCGCCAAGGGGGTTTGCGTTCTCTCCAGTTACACATGCTGGCACGCAAACTGATCTTATGGAGCTGCGGACGTCGCCTCTCTCTGAGAGCGACGCACGTACCAGGAGTGATGAACCTCGAGGCAGATCTGCTGTCAAGAGGTGCACCAATATATTCAGACTGGACTCTACATCCAATAATTGTGAGTCAGCTGTGGGTGCGTTACGGCCGGGCCCCGGTGGATCTGTTCGCATCAAAAGAAAATGCTCAATGTCCTTCTGTACGCGTTCCCCCCGCTGGCTCTGATACCCCCAACTCTGGCCAGAGTGAGAGAACAACGCCACACACTGATCCTAATAGCTCCACACTGGCCTGCAATNTGTATCGGCCGGTGGGCGACGAAAGTATGTTACTTAACAAAAAACTCTATGCATTTTATGTTATTTTGGACAATTATTCATATAGTAATCACATTACCTGAGCCCTTGAGTTGCCTAGAGCAAAATAGTTACAGCATATATTTAGTGCAGGTAATGTGATTACTATATGAATAATTGTCCAAAATAACATAAAATGCATAGAGTTTTTTGTTAAGTAACATACTTTCGTCGCCCACCGGCCGATACATGCCGCCCATTAAGTGGGCCTGTCTGTCAATTAATCCCCGGGCCACTTTTTCCCCCCAGTCCGCCCCTGCTCTGCAGTACAGGTTAGCTCTGAGTGTTAGCGATGCTTGCTAATGTAAACAAAGACCACATTACATCCAAAACACTTGGGCATTGTTTCTGATAGCAACGTTTCTGATAGCGCCGTGGGTCCACATTTCCAATATTACGTCATATCGGACGCAAATCTGGATCAGCTCTGTTGTACCCCCGTTTTTAGAGATTTGGGTACAGAGGAAAGAGAGATGGTTTTGTTTTCTGACACTTTGTGAGTTCCCTGACTCACCGGGGACACATATTTATGTATAAAAGACATCAAAAGTGAATTTTGCATGATAGGTTCACTTTAAGTGACTGACCCTAACACCAGAAACCCTGGCTTGCATGTTGAATCTTTAACACTTGTCAAATTTAACCAGCTTACCTTTACACCTTATCCACAGAAACTGAAGACTGGATCATTTGAAAACGCACTGACAAAGGCCTGCAGTATTCTGCTACTGTTCGAAGACTTGTTGCATCAAAGCCAGAGCCACATTTTTTGTCTGAGGTCCAAACTCTGATTTTACATCTCTGTCACATTTTAAAATCAGCTTTACCGATTTTGGCTTTGGCTACAAAACAGTAATGCAAACCACAACAATCTAGCATCCACTACCATTTGGACTCTTGATCACTTTTAAAAATAAATCACTGAATTTATCTTTCTGCTTATACTCCTGACAAAAAAGTATTGATTTACATTCATAAGCCCCTATTTCCACCTGTGCAGTTGAGATACAGTACAAGGGACTATTTATTTTTCATTTTTTCTCTCTATAAGGGGCGAGGGCATTCTGTTATGAGTCATTTCCTCATGTTTTCTGTCTATTTTATTCAACACAATATGCAAATTACCTGCAGCTCAATAATATTGCATCTGATTTTGTCGATGACATGAATTGTATATTTAAAAATGATTTGAGAAGAAGTAAGTGAAAAAAATATTATTGTGGTTTCTTCAGTAGATTACATTTAGCGTCCCCAGACAACCCTTTGCAGTCTGGAGTCCTTGAATGTTAGATAAACTGGGATGAGAGTTGAAATGAATGATTTGACATTTTCAGTAGTGGATAAGAATAGACTGTGGTTTTGAGAAATAAACTTTGTAATGCTAGGTAAGGCAAATCATAAAATGTATATTATAAGGTCAGGAAAGTATTTTGTTTTTGATAAATAGTAATCTATAATTACATTTTAATGGGATACAGTCGCTGGTATCAAGCTTGAACAATATTTACTCCATCTATTGTACCACCCTGGCACCCACAACGCTATTCCCTGCTTGGCTGCATAAATGGCACACTAATTCCTGCTAGTCACTGAATTCACGGATGTAAAGTGGGATGTTAGGGAGACCGGTTCCAGTTGACCAGAATGCATTGCAGTCTGCTCTTCTATAAAATACAGACCACGCAGTTCCATTTTCTGGCCACTTAATCTGCCACAGACTTTAGTTCAATTGAGCCCATGCACATTTGAGAAAGCTGAATTTATGGCATTAAGGGTAGAAATATTGTGGGTTATGTTTAATAAAAACTGTGTTATTTACAAGTTTGTGGTTGGATATAATTACTCACACCAAAGTCCTCATTAAAGTGCTTATTCAATGGCAGCTGCACTTGCATTGTATAACAGGGCTGATTGGTTCTTCACACCTTTTTTATTATGTTATATCTACCCACAAAACAAGGCCTTTTAGAATAAGGTACTTTGCTGGGTGTCACCCCCCTTTTGAGTTTTTGACGACTGAAAGAGGCTTACATAATTTCTCTTTTTTCGTACCTTGCCCATGATCTATTGATTTCTCATATCTTGAGGAAATATTCAGGGTACAGCCACAGGCAACATGTCTGGGATTGCATATATGTTTATTCTATAGAGGCTGCCTCCAACTCACTTCATTTTCTGACAGCAGGGACTGTTCTCGCTTGACTGAACACGACATTTTGGATAGCAGGTGTGATGGGTCCGGGTGACAAAGCTCATGATCCGGTCAGTCCGGTGTGTCGGCTGTCTTCCACCGGGTTGCTGCAGCACGTTGGATGGATGAGAAATTGCGTGGCTGTGATTGGCCGGGCACTCGGCTCCCGGCTCCCAGCGGGTGAAGGCTCCCTACTTGTCATTACTGTTGCTCAGCTTCACAAGCCCATGAACACCACTGGTCTCAGTGTCCGCCTCTCGTCGGACTTGGAATTCATATAACATTATCCAAAGCGGCGGATTGCACCATGGATGCTACTATTATTCAGATAATATTCGGGGAGCTAGGGGACCTTAATTGTAGTTTAGTAGATGCTCTCCAAGACACTTTTTTGGGGAACGCTTCATTGTCCTTGCTGAGCACTGATGGTAAGATGGAATTTCTTCCCGTTTTGTTGTCAATTATTCAGAGGTCTTGGATACCGGAAAAATATTTAAGCTTCCGCGTTTTTTATTCTACTTTATTCCCCCCCTAAGGTTTTTTTTGCAATGCCACAACCGATGAGATTGGAACATGCTGGCCGCGGAGCAGCACCGGGAGGATTGTGGAGAGACCCTGCCCTGAGTACATCAACGGAGTGAAGTACAACACAACCAGTAAGACATTAATCCGTGATGGCAAAAGTTATTTATATGGATAACATTTTATTTATTTTTTTGCACGTACATGATATTGCATTCAAAATCCTCCCATATGTGCTGGATTTAAAAGTAAAAGCATAATATTATTTTGGATGAAAATGCAATGTCTGCTTCTATAAGCAAACACACTCAGCAAACAAACTCTAATGTGTGTTATGCACTGTATGATGTTGCATGTGAAATTTGGTCGAGAGCAGTGGTGAGTGACAGTGAATCTCAATAATGGTCATTACACCTTGAGTCACTGCAACAGCTGCATCACATGAGCATGTGTGCTGTTTGCTTAGGAAAAATATATCTAAAAGCCCTTGAAAATCTTTCAAATGTGACGTGATTACATTTATAATTCTCTAATTTGATCGTTTCATCAGATTGTGTACCATGCCAAACTTGCTCTTGTGATCAGATAGCAGTTTGCAGTTGAGTTTGAGAACATTTATATTTTCAAAATACTGTGAAAAATGAATTTTCAGTATCTATCAATAATCTGACACAGAAGAGAGAATTAAATTAAATTAAACCTTCGCAGGCTGTTATGGAATACAGATCGAGTTGACCAGAATGCATTGCAATCTGGTCATATAGGATTGTCGGCTATAGGCAGCTTCATTTTCTGGCCACTTAATCTTCCACAGAGTTCACAAGGTCCTTGGTGGACACATATGTTTTTCTGAATCCATCACATGAACATTTTAGAAGCTTAATTTATGGCATTGAAACTTACCCATGACCACACCTGTCACCATCGAGCCATCAGTCTATTTGTTGTGATCGTGACCAGATGGAAATCCAATGGTGTGTTCAAATGAATGTGTGGTTTCTGGTTTGAAGTCAGCATGCAGCTGATGTCAGCTTCACCTCCACATTAAGTCTTGACTCCAAGTTTCAGCCAAAGTCACTGGAACTATATACAGAGACCATTTTGAAATATTTTTTTTTAAACAATAAGCTTAAGATAGGTTTTATTATCAGCTGGCTTGAAAGACTGAGCAATTCTAAACTCAGTCTGTTTCAGCCAACAGTTTCACCAAGTGCTGAGAAGAACATATCACAACTCTCCATGTCACCAGCAGTGTCACGTTATGTAACTTGTGTATTAATCATGAGAGTGATGAACTGAATTGACACATTCAGAGAATTCAATTGCAGCTTTAATTTCAGCCAATAACATCCGAAAATATCAAAGCAAAAAGGGTGCAGGTGACAGTTTGAGAGTGCATGTCCGAGGCTATATTTCTCATTTAACAAGCTTGTTATCACTTTAATAAGCTCATGTGCCCGTTGCTATAAACTACTTATCCCCACCACACGCACGCACACGCACGCACGCACGCACGCACGCACACACGCACACACAGACACACACACACACACACACACACACACACCCTGTGTATGCCCTCTTACTGCATTGATTCCCCCTTTGCTCTGCTGCTGTTTCTACATATTGTTTGGCGTGTCTGGTGGTTAATTTCCCTTGGTGTGAAACGTGCAGCCAACACCTGCTCTGATGTATACCTTCATTAGTTGACCCCCCCCCGGGGATCGATGTGAATTAATATTTTTTACAGGCTAAGGAGTGGCAATTTTGCAGTTGTTAAAAATGTTGGTCAAATGTACCTCACAATCAAACAATGGGCCTGTCAAACGCAAGTGCAACATAATGGCATTTTTGTTTGCTGGAGGTGATGACATAATTAGCTCCTGCTATTTTAAATGGATTTGATCAAAGAGTATACTGTAAGAATGAAAGAAAAAACGAGCTCTTTTATGGAAATGAAGTCACATTGTTGCACAGATTGCAGCTCTGAGGTGGAATGACGCAGGTGACAGATGTTTTTTTTCCTTTGTGTCAGGCCCACGAGTAAAGTAATATTATTATTAAGTGTCAACTTAGTTTTGGACATTGAACTGAGAACACATTTTATTTTGCTTGTCCATTAGAGCTCTCAATGTCATTGCATTTTCCATGGACCACTATGGAAGTGGTTTCAGACAGGGAACAAAGTGATTTCACAGTTTGCCCACTTTGCAGACGATCAGACATAACTGAAAGTATTTTACAGCTTGTTTCACACACTGACAGCAGTGTTGGGACTTTCAGCTGTCCAACTGTAGCGCAAGATTATAGACTTTTGCTACATGTTTTCCTGTGTCAGAGCCACTGAGCCAGACTTGATCGGTTTAGCTGTGCGGGATCGATTGTCTTATATTAAAAACACGGGAATCACACAGGAGTTTTAAGAAGCTGTTGAGAATTTAGTCCATGGAGCTGTTTAATGAACTTTTTATCGAGCGAGCATTAGAGTCTCTATAGATTATGGCAGTGATGCATACAGGTCTTTATGGGAGTTTGATGGGATTGCAGTGTTTGAAACATTGTATGCCTTCCTTACTGCCTGTATTGTGCTAATGTTTCTTAGGCACTTACAGTAGTGGAAGGGAGGTTTAAAGAGGAGTCTGAGTTACTGGAATAGTTAAACATTTTGGGAAATAGATGTATTCACCTAGTTCAAAACAGATGGCCATACTGTACATCCTGCAAACAGCTGTATGGAATAACCGCACATCATTTAATTCCATATTTCGGATCAAAGTGGACCTTATTACATTATTCTCCACTATTGTTAGGCACAGTTTGCGCTGTTCTGGGCTGTATTGTTTTCTGCTTTAATGGAGCTTAAAGGTTGGAGAAACTTACGACTGTAAGGGCGACCAGTTTGTTAATCACATTGAACTGAAAGATATGAAAAAGGAAACCGCAATCTTTGAATTGTATTGCATGCAATTATTTCAAGTTACAATGTGTTATTTATTATCAATTTAGATAATAATTTTTTCATTAAATTCCCTTATATCTCAATATGCAAGTTTTATATGTTAATTTAAACATGATATGAATGAATAGATAGACTTTCAAGTTCATATTTAACCATCTCCTGAGCAAAAAGGAGCATATTTGATTAAAGTCCCCAGATAGAATTGTCCATGTTATATTTCAAGGACATCCAGTCTGCTATCTTCACTGTATTAGTGTGAATGTATAAGTGGGATAGTATTAGCGTTTACAAAACTCTTTCATGCTAAATTCAAACTTAAGTCACAGTAGGCTGCATGGTTTTACAACAAGTGACATGGGCGCTGAGACAATGGAGGCCAGTGTTTTGATTCTGTCACTTAAGCGGCACCATTTTCATCCACTGACACATTAAAATTAAAAAATCTCGAAAAAAAGTCAGACCAAAAATAGAAGTGTGGCCTGAAATCACATGGGCAGGTGTAGAGGGTTGCAATTAAACACAGAGTCTAAAATCAGAAACATAATCTGATGTAAAGCAATAGCACGCTGTTTTGCGGTAAAGAAAAAGCCTGAGTGGCGTGTGTGGACAGAGTCTAATTTTGGCCACATAGAGTATCTGACCTAGTAAGGGACTAACAATAGATTATTTTCCATTTCTTGGAGTGTCTCACAACTAAACATTTAATGGGCCTGCATATTTGAAAGGCATGACCCAGGGTGTACTATGTTATATTCTAAGAAAAGCCCCTACTGTATGCGTTGTACTCCCAGTTGTTGAACACTGGAGAATATAAATGCTATCTTGTGTGTAACCTTGTAGGTTTTCCGTAGCACATGAAAATGAATGACTGAGGTAGTCTAATGTCAGCAAAATGTTCCAATTCTCTTACAAAAGCCGTACATTTCACAGACTTAACAGGCCCCTTCAGGAGAGGTTTATGCATTTTTAAAACTTTTTTTGGCGCATTTATTCAGTTCTCTGGTTTACATGAAATACACATCACCACAGTCGAGGTTGAGTTGTTTGAGTTAAGGTCATTCGCTGTCTCTGCTTTGTCACTTATGTGATGTGTTTTCCGTCAAGCCTCAGGCAAGACAAGATGTTCACACCAGCAAAGATGAACAATATCAACAGCAACGTGTCAGTTTTTCTAATGCAAGCCATATCTTGGTGACCCATGTGCTTTTTCTGTTCAGATTATTTAGTGAATCACGCTTCTCCCTGTGTTTCTCCAGTCATTGTCACAGAGGAGACATCAGCACACAGTGTACCTTTCTAGTCAACACAGCTTTAAGTCAGAATCGCTGTTTCTACAATAGAACTTTATTGATTCTCTTATCAGGATTAATAAAGTCCAGGACATATCAGCACCGTGGCGGGTATCAGGATCAGAGTGAGGAGCAGAGCTGCTGCAGCGTGGTTTGTCTCAGATGCAGCTCGATTCTTTTCTTTTAAAATAGAGGGTGAGTCGGTGCAACATTACCTCATCTTCCGGAGGCTAACATAATACTGAAATTGAGCAGTGACTACACAAAGACCGGCGTAATGAACAAACAAGAAAATTGCAGCTTTTTCAAAGTTCTCCGTGATAATTTGTGCATTTTTGTTGATTTCTGTCATTATGTGCGAGTGAGATAAAAAAACCTAGATTGTATTTTCAAAAGAAGTTGTACAAGTTGCAGTTATTTAGATTCTCCATTTCAAAGATTAATCTCCTACAAAATGTGAGTCGCTGACATTTGAGAACAGACCTGCAAGCTTTTTTGGTTCTTTGGAGGACAGAGAACCATTTTCCTTTGTGCACTTTATCATGCAGAGAGCACCTCTGGCTGCTACAATTTGTGCTACTTTTCCTTTCCCTGTGATTGCACCAGAATCATCTTAAAGTACCTCCCCTGCTGTGAATGTACACCTCTTTGAAACCTTTGATCCACTTCTCCATGGCTGGACTGTGTAAGAAGTTAGTCAGTCAGTAAATTTGGGTCAGCATGTGTGAAGCAAACAATTGACCAGCCATTACCCACAGAGTTCCTATAGGGGCCCAATCAGCAACAAGCAGCACACACAGTAAAAGACAGACATTTCATTTGATCTATACCATATTTGATGATATAAATGTAGCCTTGGTAGGTCTGTATGTGGTATTTATATATC